CCCCAGGATGTGCCCGCGAGAGCCTTGAGGATCTTGGTGCACCGGCTCACTTAGCTTGCGACCTCCCTCGCATGGCAGACCCGGTGACCAGCAAGGGCGTGCGATGGGCGCATCTCCGACACTCGGTGATGTTCTCGTGACCTCTGCGATCTTCGCCTCGTGACCTTTAGCACATTGATAAAAACTATGGTGGGCTCCTCCTGAAATGCTTCAAACATTTTCAGCAGCAGGCCACCCGATTTGCAAATAAGCTACTCCCCTCCCTCCCCTGTCACGGGCGACAGTTTTTCTCCTTAATTTCCCACGAATGGCATTCATAGCTCTAGAATTCCGAACAATGCCTAATGAGTTTTTTTTACTGTGTGGTCTTTTTACGCAGTTTCATTCCTGACAACGCCAAATGTTCTGCATCATAGCTGCTCTGTAACAAGAGGGAGTTCAAAGGTATTTACCTATATTTCCTTGATAAATCTGACCTGACCGGAATAAGAAAAAAAGGCTTTCATCACAGCCTATTTCTCGCTTATTTTTGTGGAATAAAGGTCGATTTTTCAACTTATTCAGAACTGTTTTTTGATTGGTAAACGATCCTCATTTTCGCAAACCGCGCGCGCGCACGATCGTGCATCTATGATCTGCCATAGAGCTATTTAGCATAGGAAATTGCATGGATGTGGCAAAAATTCGTTTTTTTTTCTTGCAAAGTGTCCTGATTTGCTTAAGCGCAAGTATTTTCAGAAACGTTTCGAAAAAAAAGGAGACTTTGCGCGCGACACCTTACTCTAAAGTGCATGATGTGCTCCCCTTCCCCCCGAGCCTGTCGATTTGCCTGATCTTGTTTTGCACTGCAGGTTCTTAACCAAACCCGTCTCAGTTGCTGTAACGGTAGCCAAAGCCGAGATGTCACTACCTAATTCCGCCTCGTGGGAGTCCCCAGGGTAGAACACGACAAGAAGAGCGCAAAAGCAGAAGTTCTTCAGCGTAGTTGGTGCAACATATTTGGGGTAACAAACGCGTGTAAAAATATGTCTATCGAGCCAATCAGCTTCTGTCCTGGCGTAGGTAGCGACACGATTGGCTCGTGACATAGCGGCTGGCTGCAGCTTAAATTTTAAATTATTGATCGACTGACTGCCAGTATGCGTTCGACGCGCGTAGGCCGATCGATAGCCTGTCGTGAGCGCGGCTCGCTGCCTGTATACTAGCTGCCTGCTAGCTGTTCGTTAGGCTCCTCCTAACATCAGTCGTCTTCTATTTCGATTGGTGCCTTCGCTTACACAAATCTGTTGATGAGCACGATGTTGCTGCCATGGCAGATGAAATAAGTACACCAAAAGCAGTTTCCCGTAGACTATTTGGGCACTATCTCCTGTTTTTTGGCGTTTGCGCCTTCGCAGCGCATCGAGAATTCAGAAGTAGAACTTTGAGGCAATAGTATTCCACGTAATTTGTTGCACTGATAAAGGTGGTTGAGACTTCGATGATTCCTAACCTGTTCTCATTCCCCCTTTTTGGGCGCAGGAACACGCCAATTTGAATGCTGATATGGCCCGGGATCTGCTTCGCAAAATGCTGGTTCTTGATCCGTTACAACGGATCACTGTGGACGAGGCCCTGCAACACCCCTACATCAATCTGTGGTTCGATGACTCCGAAGTCAATGCTGTAAGTCCTTTCTCTTTTTCTGCTATCTACGCCGTTTATCACTTTAAAATCGCTATTAGTCATTATGACAATTTATTCCGTTGGCGAGATTACTTGACCTGACTCCCTAGCGGGGGTATTTGTCATTTCGGGGACAGTTCTAGGTCTTCACTTTTCTATTTCAGCAGGGCTATCTTGTAGGGTCGTCTAAATATCATTGATTTTGACTGCCTTTATAAATTCAAATAAATTTTACGGAAAATATGCACGAAACAATTCTTTATTGCACTCGCTTGGTAGCAAATTACGCCTTCTTTAAATTTTATAGTTAAAAAAAAAACAATTTAATTATGAGCTTTTTACGATTGTGAGGTGTTCAATGCAAGCTGACAGCATCCCTTTTGTCTCCTGAGGGTAGTCTGATCCGTCTAGCAGTCATATGATAATTTTCATTGCTTGTAAATATTTTAAACGACGAGTAGACCAATGTCGCCCCGTATTAATCGGCAACACCCCAAGGACTCGAGGTCGTTATTCCTCACAGTAATCACAGCGCCTTGGCTTATTAGACTTCAGTGCATATTTTAATACCCCCCCCCATTGAATTTAACAGGATGTTCTGGGCTTGAACTCAATTGGCTGAGTTGTGAGTCCAGCCTGTTTTTGTTGTAAATGTGGCCAAAACTGCGGTATCGCCGTCTAATTGCATCT